CTGGAGAAAATGGCCACTTTGGAAGGTGGACTTCCATTATACCCCACTGAAGTCCCTCCCCTCCCCAAACCCTGCTGTCCTCAGGCTCCACCCCCCAAAATCTCCAGGTATTTTCCAACCTCAAACTGGCAACCCTACTATGCCCTTATATATTACTTTAACAAATTCACAATAATTACTGCTGCCAATGTGTTAATCATAGTCAGCTTTAAGCACCTAGTAAAAGTGCTGCATGAATACGATGTCTGCCTATCTCAACAGGCACTCTCAGGAGATATGGACTGTTCTGGAATGTGGCACTAAACTTTTATCTCTGATCTTCTCTTGCAGTGTTTGCACCAGAGGTGTGTTAATAATGCAGGATAAGATGCAGAAGAGAAACTGAGCAGGTTCATACTTGCATTCTAGGTTAATTTAAACCTCATCTGAAAGAGCTGCTCTTCTGATCTTCTATTAACAGCTATTAGCCATGGTAGCTAAATGAATCCTGTGTGCTCACAAGACAGCATTTAAAAAAATAATAATTGAAACAGGGTTAGTAAATGGACTTGGTCAAGAGGCCACTTTCATAAAGGGAACAGGGTTGTAATTTATTGTGTTGCCGCCTACATTATGTTGTTTGTACGGCATTGTTTTCTAAGTTTTGTGCTCCAGTTGTTGCATTGTTTATGGTATGTCTTAGATTGCTCAGTCTTTATTGATTTTCCCCCTAATTTTGTACTCCACCCTGAGTTTTAGGGAGAAGGACAAACTATTAGTAAATGAATGGCTGTAGCAGGGGGTGGGGTACACTAGCAACTGCCTTCTTGCCCAGTTTATTTAATTTTTCAAGAGTCTAGAAGAAGAGCCCTGCTGGATCAGACCAGTGGCCCATCTAGTCCAGCATCCTGTCTCATACAGTTTCCAACCAGTTCCTCTAGTGGTCCAACAACAAGACATAAATGCCAAGGCCTTCCACTGATACTACCCTATGGCACTGGGATTCATAGGCTGATTGCTTCTGAATATGGAGGTGCCCCTTTAGTCATCATGGCTAGTAGCCATTGATAGACCTGTCCTCCTATTTTATTTACAGTCATGTGCTTCGCAGAAGCTGGACGTGATCATCCGTTGATCTAGTCTAGTATGGCTCTTCTTAAGTTTTTACTTCAGATTTAGATTTACTATTCACATATCATTTCCTTGGCCACAGATTATACACACAAGATATATCTACCGCTTTGTGGCACCACCATGACGTAAAAACATGGTTCTGAAGCATGGATTGTCATTGATCTTCACATTTTTTACATTTGGTCACCCCAAATTTATCATCTAATCACATATCATGTCCATAGAGTCAGTTTGCACCAAAAATATCATGCATCCTCTGTTTTGTGGCAGTACCATGGTGCAAAACTGTAATCCCAAAGCATGGATTCTCATGGATCTTCAGGATTTTTACATTATGTCTCATCAAACTGACCACCAAGTCACTCATATTTATGGCCACAGATTGCACCACAAAAATCACAGATTTGTGGCACAAAATTCACACTTTGTGGCACCATCATGGTGGAAAAGCATGGATTCAAAGCATGGATTCAAAGCATGGATCCTCATGAAATCATATGATTTTTAATGTGGGGTTACCGCAGACTCACCACCAAATCACTCATCACTAGCTCACACTAACTCAGCTTAGAGGGAACACATTCGTCACAGTTCAAAAATATGGATCCAAAGCAAGGATCCTCAGGATTTTTGTGTGGGGTCACCAACAAATCACGTATCATACCCGTGGTGACAGATTGCACCACAAAAAGCATGGGTCCATTTCTTTGTGGCACCTCCATGATTCAAAAACAACAGTCCAACACATTGGATCTTCATGGATCCAGAAATTCTATACGGGCTCACCCAGAACTCATTAGGAAATCACACATCATATCCATGCCTGCAGAATGAACAAAACCCACAGATCCTAGTCTTTGTGGCACAGCCATGGAGCAAACACTGCATTAAATTTTTGGATCTTCATGAATCCTTATGATTGTTAAGGCTCCCCCAAAATACATTCTAAAATCACACATCTCATCAATGTCCATGGAATGACCCAGATCTAGCATTTCATGGTTCCCCAATAGTGTGAAAATTCCATTAAAACTCATGGAACCTCATGAGTTTTACAGAGTCCCATTAAAATTTACGCTGATGTCATATACTACAATAATGTCCATGGAAGAGACTGGGGGGGGAAAGGGATATGGTCCTTTATAGGTGTTGAATTTCCAATGACTCCAAAATAAATCTACGTTTAAAGGTTAAAGCAAAATTTATTCCAAAGCTTTCTGCGCACCTTTAAACAAGGCAGGCAGTCGGTACGAAAATATACGGCCGAGTTCCAGAACCAAGCCGCTAAGTTGAGGGACTGCCCTGATCATTTGTTAGCCGAAATGTACCGCCTCGGGTTGAATCAAGACATACGAGAGACTGTCTTGAGATCTGTGGAAATTCTAATATTAGTTGGGAGCTGTGTTCAGCCACTTGTGAATTGACTTTGTGAACAGAAAGAATGACTACAAACTGAGATGTGACAAAGACTCTGGTCGAAACGAACGGCTAAACTCTCGAGCAAGTAAGTTGTGTTGTTTGGGCCTTCGTTTCTGTGATTGCAATAAAAAAGAACATGTATTAAATTACCAATATTTGCATAAGTATATTGAACTTGTTGGGCAACTTTTTTGTCTTATTTCATTCTCTTGAGTTGCCGGGTCCTTGTTGTTGTTTCCTCTGGTTTTGAGATCTGTGGAGCCAGTCTCCCTCATGGCGTGGGCGCAGGAAGCCGAAGGAGCGGAGAGCTGCCTTCAGACCATCAGACTGGACTCGGCTGCAAGCGGTGGGAAGGTGAGCCACTCTTCAACTCCCAAACAGAAGCCTACATGCCTCTCAGAGGCAGCTAGGGAGTTCAGAATGAAGACGGGGCTCTGCCTAAGATGTGGGGAGCGCGGCGGATTGCGGAACAGCTCCAGCGAAAGAACAGCATCCAACCACCAAAGGGAAACAGACCACTCCACAAAAGAAGGGAGTCGCACGACCCAGCTTTTCCAAAGCCTTGCAGGGTGCGCCGGACGACAACATCGAAGAATCGCCCGAGTCAGAGCTAGAGGCGGCGGGAAACGAGAACGTCCTGTTGTAAGCGGCGCAAAACAACAGGACTTTGTTCTTGATGCGCCAGTGGTGGTGAAAGAACCCCCCTCCCTATTTTTCGTGCTGGGGACTAAAATCCACCCACTCAATGAGATACCAACGTTTTCCCCGTTTAACTTTACAGTCTAAGATATCAGCAATTTAAAAATGTTCCTCCCCTTCAAGCAATATAGGAGGTGGAGGGGCCTGAGTTTTACAGAGTCCCATTAAAATTTATGCTGATGTCATATACTACATTAATGTCCATGGAAGGGACTAGGGGAAAAAAGGGGATATGGTCCTTTATCGGATTGCCACGGTGGAAAAACTGCATTTGAAAATGTGTTGTCAGGACAATATTCATGGACTGAACCACAGACTGATGAATTGTTTTGTGGCACAGCAATGATGCAAAAACATGGATCTAAGATGCAAATCCTCTTGCACTTTCTCGATTTCTTCATGGAACATTCTAATACAGACCATGAAATCATAGATGACATCAACATTAATGAAGTGTACCATAAAAAATTAAAAAGTGCCATCATGGTGCTAGCCCATGGTGTGAAACATGGATGCCTACCTGTTTTGCATAAAGTTCATGAAAAATCACAGATCAGATTCATTTCCACAGATTTTACCATTTTAAAAAAATAAATCCAGAACAATATGGTATCACCATGACACAAAACGCTGTAGAAAAACTCCTTGGTCCTCACAATTTCTATGTAGCATATTCCAAAATGCAGTGTGAAATGAGTAGTTCATTTTAACAGTCATATGGATTTAAGTATTTAATGCAGTGTTTGCACCATGGGAATGTAACAAAGACTAGGATTTGTGCTCTTTGTGATTCATTCTGTGGGCATGGACATGGTATGCGATTTCCTAAGGAGTTTTCCGTAAGCCCAGGTAGCATCTATGTTGCTGAGCCATGGTGGTGTCATGAAAAGGTGGACTTATGCTTTTGTGGTACAATGGATCGCTACAGTTCTCAGCACTTGAATCCGAGAGGGCCCTCATTGACTGACCCCATAAGTCTTGTTCTTCCAAGTGTTAATCACTCTTTGGGTGAAGAAGTACTTCCTTTTATCCGTTCTTGGGTTCTAGCCTTTATTTAATAATTTGTTTTTTTATTTTTCTATCTGGGCCTTCTGCCTTAAAATGAAGTTACATCTATATTTTTAAAACCTTGCTATCAGTAGAGACGAAGCTTACTTTTCAATAACAATTAAATGATGTCCCCAAGGAAGCAGGGTCCGTTTTAGATCTCATACAGCGTGCGTCCGGCTTCATTCCCGGAAATGTTACGTCGTTGCACGGAAGACGTGCCGAATTGCCGTCTAGTTTTCTGAGGCGGTGCAAAAAGCCCAAACAAACAGGAAGGACGCATTACGAACGCCTTCCAAGGAGAGAGAGGGGCGGAAACTACAGTTCCCACAATCCAACGCGCGTACATCGCGACCTCTGGTACTGCGAAGATGGCTGCAAGCAGCAGCCGGGATCACGGTGCCGGTGGTTGCCGTAGTAACATTCCCCAGTACGAAGATGCGACGTCGGAGAGGAACACTCAGGTCTTCCACGTGGCCTCTTTTGGGGCTGCTTGGAGGGGGGCGCTGCATCCGCAAGACTTGAGTCTGCATCAGGCGGCGTCTGAAGACCAGGACGCCGCGGTAGCCGAGGAGTTTAGCTGCCCGCCGGAGTTCGTGTCCGAGTTGAAGGCTGTGTGCAGGTAACTGTGAACGAAACCCCCCGCCCTCCCGCGCGCATGCTACTGTAGTGCTTGCAGGGGCTTGCCTCTCAACGTGCTTGGTTAGGATCTGGTTGCATCCTTCCGAAGTCGTTTAAGATGCATGCACTCAGGTGCAGGTTTTGTTTAGAGGCAAACCTCTCCCGCCGTAGTAGGATTTGTATGAGGGCAGTTCTGTGCACACTGGGAGTGAATTCCATTGCCTTTAGTGGGAGTTATTTCTGAATAAGCACACATAGGGAGAGGATGTAAAGCCCTGGTCCTACGGGTACTGGGGAGCCTAATCTTCTACGTTTCTTCAAAACTAACTCTTAAAAGGCGAAAGATTTATCAGATCTCTGAGTCAGAAGATGGGAGGAGTACTGTAAAGAGTGTTGTAAAGGATGCAAAGGTAAAATGTGTATGGGAATTGTTAGGTGCATTGTACCTTTGCAGACTTCACAAGTATTCTTTACAACACCTTTCTTGTCTTCTGACTGGGATATAAAGACTTGGAGATCTCCATCCCTGCTTGTGTGTGACAAAGGGAACTTTGACTCTTGAAAGCTTATACCTGGAAAACCTTGTTGGTCTCTGAAGTGCTACTGGAATATAGTTTTAACTCGTAATGGTAGCTTCAGAGGTAAGACTGCATACTTATCAGGAAGCTACGTCTTTTATGGTTTGGAACCAGTAGATAGTTTATGATCAGGTAGAAAGGCAATTGTGCTGCACAGTTATCGGAAAAGCACAGGGATGCTTTCTCAAGGACCCTTGCAGCATGCTGTCCACAGAGGAAGCCTGCTAGGCCTATTCTCTCTTGCTACAGATGTTTTAAGAAGTGTTACTAAGTGTCAGTTGATGTATTATTGATGGAAAGTCCTTCTTCCTGGATTTGTTCCAGCTTCTGAGTCCCATCAGGTTCACACCCTATGGGTGTGCAGAGGGTCTTTTAAAATAGAATTATGCTATGAATAGCAAGAATGTTTGCATATACTTTCCACTGTTTAGGCATTGAAGCAAAATGGGAATGTGGATTTGGAAATGTGTTAGGGAGCTGCAGCTACCTAGGGTCTATTGAATGTTGCTATGTGGTCGCAGCCAGGTTTCCACTTAATCTATTCTGATGCTTCCCATTCCAAATAATGATATATATGTGGTGCCTGTTCTTATTGCAGTTAAGTATGAAGCAGTACTGTGTGTTATAAGAAACACAGGAAGAAGCCTGCTTTGCATTCTTATTGTTCCGCTCTTCTTACCCAGGACCTGTGTTTGTTTTGTTTCAGTATCGATGCATTAAAGAGCCCTGGGAAAGAAGATACAGAAGAAATACCTGAAGACACCAGTTTGTTAACTCTCACGTATGCTGTGCTTGATTCTAATTAAAATCCAAATTTGTTCTTTCACTTCCCTACTAGTGTGTTTTGCTAGGACGTTTTTAGTTGTTGGTTGCTAGAGCAGGCAATAACCCTGCCCTCAGGTTTAAGACTGGGCTGCCTACAAATGATAGCACCTCTTCTATTCTGATGCTTCCCATTCCAAATAATGACATATATGTGGTGCCTGTTCTTATTGCAATTAAGTATGAATGCAACACACATAAGAAACACAGGAAGCCTGCTTTGCATTCTTATTGTTCCGGTCTTCTTACCCAGGACCTGTGTTTGTTTTGTTTCAGTATCGATGCATTAAAGAGCCCTGGGAAAGAAGATACAGAAGAAATACCTGAAGACACCAGTTTGTTAACTCTCACGTATGCTGTGCTTGATTCTAATTAAAATCCAAATTTGTTCTTTCACTTCCCTACTAGTGTGTTTTGCTAGGACGTTTTTAGTTGTTGGTTGCTAGAGCAGGCAATAACCCTGCCCTCAGGTTTAAGACTGGGCTGCCTACAAATGATAGCACCTCTTCTGCGGAGCATCCTGTCTTCAGCTTTACTTTTGTCTGAAAAGAAACTTGTGGGAGTTCTTCCTCCTTCTTTATCATGTGGATAATTTCACGGTGAAATAGAAACATACATGTGCTGCACATGATAAACGGTCTATGGGATTCATGCCACTTTCTGTACAGAAGTGAGAATCCTGTAGTAGACTTGACCTTGTGTAAACAAGATATATTTTACATGGAAGGAGAATTATTTTATCTTATTTACTTCATTTCTCGTCCACTTTTTTCTTAGAGACTCAAGGTGGACTACAGAATTATAAAAAGCAATGCAAAGAAGAATACAATAAAAACAATGCAGCAAAACTGGATAACACAAAGCACAATGAAATAGAAACAGTGTGATACATCACATAAACTGTATTTCACAGTTAAGAGGATGATGTATATTTCACTGTCTAATATTTCATATTGATCAGTCAATTCAGAATCAAATTGTAAATCAAGTTACCTCTCCATACTTTTTTGATCTTTTTGGTAGGGTGTGTGTAAATTTTGAGTATCTGAAGACTTTGAGTGTGCACACTGTTAGGGAAAACTTGTAATATTTAACTAGAGATACATATAACTAGTCCATTCTGGAATAGTTTTCTGTATAATTTCTGAGTGACTGTCTTTTTAAAGAGCATGAAAGTAAAGACCAAAAAGGCACTTTTTAATAGTTACTTGTCATTTACTCTGTGAAAGAGTAATCGAGTGTAAAGTGGCACATCTGAACAGGAATCTGAACACTCTGATGAGAGACACACACCTCCTTGCAGTGCCCAGCGGACTTCTCCCTCCCATACCAATTCCTTGCACTGCTTTAGAGAATATTTGCAAAGCCCTTCCTTAAGCTATGCAGGTTGCTTCTGGGAGTGGTGGATGTAGAAACTCTGCAAGAGGTATGATTGTTTGGCTGTTGAAAGGCTGCATACTTGTAAAAATACAGTTTCAATGGCTAAAGCTTCTCTCTGTCAAGTTATCAGTCAGGGCTCTTTTGAACACAGAGTGAAAGCAAGTTGGTACAGGCCAGTATGAAGTATCGGTTAGGAAGTGTCCAAAAGTGTTACTTCCCATTTTCTGGCTCAAGCCAGCCCCTGAGAACTACAATGCTGGTTTGACCCCCTTTATCAGTATTACCCTAACTATGTGGGAGATACTTTTTAATGCCGTATTTGCTGGAGTAGTGTGTAAACCCAGCCACATGGATAGTGGCATTTGTGAAAATGAGATTGTCTTGTAATGTAAAATGCCTGAGTCTTTGTGTGGTTTTACAGTCCTGCTTTTTTTAATCCTTTACACATTATCCCTAAAATATTCATCACTTTTTCCTTCTTTCTTCTATAGAATTAGGAAGAAGGCCCTGGAGAGGAGAGAAGAAACGGTCATTGTAGATCGTGCATGTAGACAAGAAACATTTCTTTATGAGATGGTGAGGTGTCTTTCTTTCTACTTCGGTATTCTCCATGTATTCATTGCGACAAGTAAAGCAAATCCAAGTATCTAAGTTTTTTAAATTAAAGCCATGATCCTGGATAGTTGTCATTCAAATTTAGATATATTGTCAAGATTATTAATCTGCATTTTGCCTGGTAAAGGTATGGGTTTTGGGGATGATTTAGGCTGGGAAAAATGGCAGCAAAGAGGGTTTAAAAAGCGTTTTTAAAAGCTTCCTCCATTGTTAGTGATCTAATTTAATTTGCAGAGCTCAGCAGCTGCTTCTTAAAAGCAAATATTGGGGATCCAGCCACAATATTCTGTGTCGCATCTCTTTTGGCCTTCAGTCGAGAGTGATGGACTTCATCCTGTACAGCAGTGACATTCCACCTTTCCAGGGTTAGCAAATCACTGAAAGAGGATGGAACTCACTGGTGCCAATGCCAGGGCGATGGACAACAGACCTAAAGAGCTGGGAACAGGGAATGCAAGCCAAGCACCTGGTGGTGTATTCTAGTGAGGAGCAAGCCGTGGGTCAGAGCCATAGAGGAATCTGTTCTGCCACTGAATGACCTCACCTCTCTGGCCTGCTGCTCTTCTTAGTATGCATGCAAAGCAAGGCAGGAAGCATGGCATCCTTGGTCTCTCTGTACCAGGTCCTTCCAAAGGGCAGTAAAAAAATAGCCCAACAGGAGGAGGCCTTTGAGAGTCCCAACCTAATGCTCTACAGGAGGAGGGTATTCCACTTGGTTAGGAAGATAGTAATGTACATGATTCTGTGATTAGACATAATCTGTCCTAATATCCTGTATAATGCTTTTTGAACTCAGGAACAATAACAGTATGGCTCTGGTTGTTAATGGCCAAAGAAGTATCTTAACTGCAAAGGTATTTGTTCTTGATGGGATCCAGAGATCACTAAGCGATGGACAACAGAAACTACTGAGAGTATTCAATTTCATGCGCATACAAGGAAATGCAATAGACTACATGCCAATAAATTGGTTCATGCAGGCATTTCTAGGGCTTAATCTCTCTAGATTTTGGGTTGGATCCTGCCTAAAGCTTCTGCCCATATACCAGGAGAGGGATTTTTGCTGAGTTTCCCCTCCCACAACAGACTATCCCCCCCCCCATCAAAAATCCTTATCCCAACCCAGGCTAAGAACTTTTGTTAAAGAGGGTTGCTGCAAATAGTCTTGGTAAGTGCCACCAGTCCTTTCAGTCTGTTCCAACAGTTCAGGAGTGAAAGGACCAGTCTGCCGGCCTTTCAGGGAATTAACAAGAAAATTCAGCCCTGCAGGGTAGGAGTGCAGTCGGAGTTTCCAAACAAAATCAATTACCAGGTTAGGTGGTCAAAGGCCACAGCTTCTGGAAGAATGCTTTGAGGTCAGTAAAGGCAAAAATCCACAACAAGGTAAAAATATAATTATTTTATTTGTGGTGCAAAAAATAGATAAAAGACAAGACTGTGAAGGACATAAAACAAATAATTTTAGGCATATCCAGTTTAGCTAATACATCAGAGCAAGGTTCCAAGTTACCCAACGTTGGTTCATCTCAGGCATGTAGTTTCAGCAATCCAAAGCGGCTCTCTCTTGCAGAGATACCCGGGGCCATAGCCCAGATGAGCAGGCAGTTCAGTATGGATGCTCTGAGCACAAGCTGAGCTGTGTAACCATTGACATCCTTTGTGCCAAGTAGTTACTGAGCCCCCGAATGGCAAGTGCTAACTAACTTTATGGAGAGGGTCTCGGATTGACCTTAGGCCTGCTAAGCCAATCAGAAACTTGAGAGGTGATGTAACTCTCTCTGTGTTGCTAACCACGTGATGTATAGAGAAGAAGAGGCACAGCTGCCGCCAGCTAAAGGTGGGTGGTGGGGCCAGGAACCTCTATAGAGGGGAGATGGGATTTCCCCTATGAGTCTCCTGCCCCCCAGCCTTAAGGAGAATCATCAGAGATGGGGGGAGGAATCCCTCCCGTGAGACTTGCGGATCTCAATTTGTTCTGGTATAGTTTGTGGTTGTTAATCTTCTCTGTCAATTCTGATGGATTGTTGTTCAGCAAGCATTCAAATAATGTTCTTTCTTTTCTTTTTAGGAATCTCACGCAATTGGAAAGAGACCTAATGATCCCGTAAACTTAGTCAAGGAAGGAGAGCTTGTTTTGACCCTCAATATTTTCTATCCAGTTATATTTCAGAAGGTTAGTGATGCTTTTATATATTTTTTATTGGCATCTCTTACAGTGGACATCTCTTATTGTTCACAAATAGTCCTGATCCTTTGGGGCAATTCTAGTTGAGGAGGAGGAGGAAGAAGAAGAAAACCACTACACCAAACAGGGGAGCAGTGTCCTGCTGTGCTCCAAGATGTCTGATGGCTGGGTAGCTTTGAGTCCAAAGGACTTTAAAGTTACATGTGTGAATAAGTCAGTTAAAAACAGATCAGTCGCACCCAGCCTGTTTAACTGCCAAAAGCCCAGTCTAAATAAAATCTTGCAGTGCTTCCATGACAACTTAGGCTTGGTTAGTCTCCAGTGGAAGGCAGTTTTAATTCTGGCACAGACTCCACTATTTTAAATGTGCAGTTTTATATAAAGCATGTTAAGCTATTCAAGTAGGACTCATAGTAAAGCAATGACACTGAGGTTGGCTGGAGGAGGGAGGAAAGAGTAAAATAAGAAAGTAATACTACCTAAAATGAAATAATGCTTGTAAGCACTCTGAAAAGATAAGGCAGATTCATGGAGGATAGGTCCATCAATGGCTTCTGCCCATGCTGATTAAAGGGAACCTCTGGACTGAAGAGGCCGCAGACCTCTGAATACCAATGCTAGGAGGCAGCATCAGGAGATGGTCTTGGCTTTTCTGCCCTGTTCATTGGCCTTCCAGGGCAATGGGTTGGCTGCTGTGTGAAGCAGGATGCTGAGCGAGATAGACCACTCCCCTGCTCCAGTACGGCCCTTCTTAGGTCTTTATGAAAAGTGCCTAAGTACCGGCCGTAGCTCTTGACTCTCTACTGGAGTAAAAAAGCCAAAAGGTCAAAACAACATCTAGGTATATAGAGAAGCACTGTGATTCTGAAATGGTCTTTATGAAAAGTGCCTAAGTACCGGATAAAGCTCTTGAACCTCTACTGGAGAAAAAAAGCCAAAAGGTCAGAACAACATCTAGGTATATAGAGATGTGATTCTGAACTAAGAGAAGCCTGGTTCTTTTCCCTCTAAGGCCAGCTGCCCCGGAAGAGGGTTCGGTAGAATCACTGCTAGAGGACCACTGATCACCAGTACAATTTCTAGAGGGTGGGTTGGGAAGAAGAGCTAGACCTAGATGGAGCAGGCATGGTTGATGGAGGTGAGACTTCATTATGGGGCATCGGCCTTCCTTTGCTTGGTGAGCCACCTGCACCTGTGCTGCAGCACCGTACAGGCATGCACTAGCCATGTGGATAACATAGTGCGGCTAGGATGCTGTCTGGTGACTGCATTTGCTGGCACTGGACCCTGCTAACTGTTCAGTAGCTGTGTGCCTGCATGGTGCTGGCACTGTGGCCTTGGCATATCTGTCACTGCTTCATGAATTCCTCTGGTAAAGGCACTACGTCTCTCCCCTCCCCCCAAAAAACCCTTCCTGTGTCCCACCATGTGAGCCATTGCCACCCGTGTCCCCTTGCTATCCAAACAGTGGGCACCCGGATTGTATTGTTTTGGGCCAGTTGTAGTTCCCTCACTACACTCTAGGAAGATAAAGCCGCATGTTCTATATCTCGTATGTACTGTTCCAGAAACGAAGGAGAAGCTTGCTGTTTCTGTCTCGCAAAGGCTCAAAAGTGTCAGATACAGTGGCTTCCTGCCTTCAGCACATGCAGGCATTCAGTGGCGGAGTCTGTAGTGCTTTGAATTGGGTTATGGTTAATTCAAGCTCTTGGTGTCCTCTGCAGCATAAGACCCACAAGCCATATCAGACAATGCTGGTTCTAGGCAGCCAATACCTTACCGAGGTCAGAGATTCAATTTCCTGTGTCAGTGACCTCCAGATTGGTGGGGAGTTTAGCAGTCATCCTGACCAAGCACCGGAATATATCAGTAAGGTACCGTAACGTTAATTTTTTTGAATTTGTATTTGTGTGTGGGTGTGTATGCTTGCATGCCTGGGCGACATGGTGACTTCTGGAGGCCTCTATTGGGGGTCTATTGGGGGTCTGGACGTTTTTCAGAGGCTTGATAACATGCCTCTTTGTCCCAGCCCTGGTATTCCTTGGAGGTTACCCTTCCAAGCACTTGCCAGGGTCAGCCTTGTTTAGCTTCTGAGATCTGACGAGATCGGGCTTGCCTGAGCTGTCCAGGTCAGGGCTGTAATGTTAATTTTAAATATGCTTAGGGCTGGCTGAACTGGAATGTATTGCTTGGGATGGCTAAGTTCTGGGGGGGAACCGGAGAAGATCAACTGCTCCTTTTCACTTAAACAACAGAAATGTCTGCAGTAGTTGGTCTTATTGAAGCCATGGGAAAGGATTTGTTTCATTGCTTTCTTATTCTGAGTCAAAAATACTGCAGCGTTCCAGAAGGTGTCATACTTTGGCTATGAATTGCTTAATGTCTAGATATAGCTATTTCTGGAAGAAAGGAAATAATATCTCATGCTGTGATCTTTACACTGTCCGGAATCTACCCAAAATATTTGAACTTTGGGAAGCTGCGTCATGTAGATATAGATAAGAACCTGTTCTGCGGCAGCTTTTCCACTGTCAGTTTCAGTTTTCTGGAGGATGCGCTCTGCATTCTCAGGTGGCAAAATACCAGTGGACCAATATTTTATATTTTAATTCATCTGTATTTATGAATTCAAATGCTCGATTTCTTAAGAACTCTTATATTACAGAATTTTACATAAGACACAGACTTGCAGATAGTTGACCTAATAAAGGGTCAGATTGTATACCAGTACCCTTGGTGCATTTAATAATGCAACTAGCTGTTCTTGCCTAAAATGGAACTCTAGTATTTCTTTATGGATTCTGCCTTTCCTTTTTAATTCAAAGTGTCTTACAAGTTCAGTTTGAGAACATACAAATTAAAATAAAATTCCCAGTAGCATCCATGTCTGTGGCTTACACTAAAAGCCCTAGAAAACAAAATCTGACATTTTTGCCTGTCTTCTAGGTCCTCCAGTGCTGCATTTCTGCCTTTCAAAAAGATACAATTTGACTATCTGTGGCCAGAGTTGGGGGCTCTTCAGCCTTTCCAGGATAGCCTGTCTGTCCATTTTTGTTTTCTGCTGTAGTAATTTGCTGTTATTTTATTCAGTTTTTTTTCAGGCTGGGATGTAGGCTTCGAACATCCCCCATTAACTGGTGGAGTCACTAACTCTTGACCCTCTTGTCTTTTAACCAGTTGTATTAAGAACTGTGAAACCTAATTAGAAGTGCCTTTTTTGAGAAATAAAGGAGTACAGTCTTAAACCATATTTCTGGTAAAAATATTTTTATTAATTTTCAAAAATACAATAGAAATAAACATATATATTATTTTCATTAATAATATAACATTACAGTCAACAAGTGAACATCAACAAAAAACCAAAACCTATTTTGTAAAAAAATCAAAATTTGTTGTTCATTGTTAGGTGGTGAACTTTGATATTATCTTTTACAATGTGGATCGTATTTCTGAGCTCCTTGAACAAAAGGTGGTATAAAAATAGTCTGCCCCGAAGTGTCTGTCTGATTCCAAACACATTTGTTGTATTTTCAGATATTTTTTACTGTGTACCTAGTAAGTATGCCTACAAACTATAACACCTGAAAGGGTCCTTAGATGACTAATGTGAAGATGTTCTATGAAGATGTTCTGTGGATGACAATCAAGCATCACTGTTGCTTAAATGAAGCTTTTCCCTTGGGTGTTACTTGCTAGAGGAGACAATGGTGTCATTGTAGAGGCTGAGCTGTCAAACAGCGCAAGGCTTTCAATCACTTGTGGCTTTGTCTCAATAAATTAATTTATCCCCTGGCTTTCAAGAGAGCTGTCTTGTCTATTAAGGAGGAAAGTTGGAACAGGCTTGCTGAAACTTTGGCTGGTTGGTGTTCGGTGGTTAGTTTCATTTTGTTGAGTTGCTGCAGAATTCATGTGAGCTTTGATAATGCTGACCTAAATAGCATAATATGTGCATTGTCCTTTGGCAGGCAGTCTTGTTTTCTGCAAAAGGCCAGTGCCTACCTCATAATTTAGAGGACTGCATTGTAGGATACGTGAGCTCCTCAAAGGGGGGGTGGGGGAGGCAGTGCTGCCATAGGGTTCCCCATCCTGTTGAATCTCTGAGTACTTATGGAATTTTGAAAACTGCTGGATGGAGGCAGGGTCTAGTCACAAAATTCTTGAGGTTCCATGAGCCTCAGAGGGAAAATTCTATTTTATCAGTATCTAGGGTCGCCACCTCCAAACTGGTAATTCTTGGCGATTTGGGGATAGTGCCTGGGGTGGTAGAGTTTGGGGAAGAGAGAGATCTCAGCAGGGACATAATGCCATAAAGCCATTCCTAGAAGTTGCTATTTTCTCTAGGTGAACTGATCTCTGCAGTCTGGAGATTCAGTTGTAACTCTGGGAGAGCTCCAGGATTTGCTTGAAGGTTGGCATCCCATGCTATGATATGCTTTGACTTGTGCTTCCAGAATGGCATCAGCGATATGGAACATTTACTTAAGCTAAAGCTTGGTCTAGGCAAACATTTTCACATTTTATAAATTTATCTCTATGCAATTATCAGTTGGGGGAAAACAGCATGGAAGTGGTGCATTAATGCATTTTTTTAAGATATAGGAACACTTAGAATACCATTCACTTCCTGTAACCTGAAGTGCAGAAGTTCACTCTACCATCTCAGGATTCAACCACCTGATTCTTCTGCATTTGAAGACTAGGCCAACCTGAGAGTTAGTCTACTTGATTCCCAACAGGAAAGAGGCCTCCAGTTCCTGTACAAAGACTACTTGGGAGCATCTATTGGATCATGTGCTTTTGTGGCTATAGCATGATCTAAAGTAGGATCCCCAACTTTTTTTAACCAGGTGGACACCTTTGGAATTTTAACACAGGGTGGTGAGCGCAACCACAAAATGGCTGCTGCAGGAAGCAGAGCCAACCATATGCAGGAAGCCTAAGTGCAGGGCGAAGAGGGGTAATTACAAAAATACAATGGAAAAGAGGAGATAGAGATAGAGATAATAAAGCCAACACTGTGGTGACCACTGCTGGTGTAACAATGTTATTTTAATCTGCACAGTCAATCAAATCTCCAGTGGCCAATCAGAAACCCTACTGGGCAAGAGCCCCTCTTGGCCGTACCCACTTTCTACAAACACTTGGTGGGCATCAGGAAAGGTGTTGTTTGCTGCCTTGGCACCGTGGGTACTACACTAGGTACCCTGATCTAAAAAACAAGTGCCTCTGAGCTAAATCTAAAAAGAATTCTCCTTAGTGTCTGAAACTATGAAGAAAATGTCCGTTAGTGTGGGACAGTAAGTAACAATACTAACAGAATCTTCATGGATAATTAGATAATGAAAATGTAAATGCAGTGTGTTCTAACTTCACACTTGGAAGATGTGACTAAGGTCTGTTGGTTGAGGGTTTTGTTAGCATATTCGTGGGTCAGAGGGGAAGACACACTAATAACTTTCTTCTTTCTGTTTTATGTCATTCCCTTAGGATCTTTACAAGTCTGCCTTTTTCTATTTTGAGGGCATTTTTTACAACGACATGAGGTACCCAGAGTGCAGAAACCTGAGCAGGTAAAAAAGAATTCACATTTGTATACGTAGATCCCAATCTTGAGCAAGTTACAGCAGTAACTGGCATGATTGCTTGCTGACCTGCAAATATTCCATGAATTGGATTTTTTTTTCTTTGTGTGGATTGAATTGGATGTAACTTCAGAAAATGAGGTAACAAAAATGCACTGAAAAGAGCCTTAACAGGAAACGACGCCACCCTCCTCCTGAGGCTGATTTCTCCCCTCAGCTGGGCTCCTTCTGGTTATGTTGCTCACCTGGGAGGAAGGAAAATTAAAGGGGAAAAAATGATTCAATGGACGCTTGTAGAACAAGAATTAAACATCACACTTCTTCCCACTGACATACTTTAGAAATTCTTCCGATTCCCATGTTAGGATTGTGAGGGAAACTTCCCCCCCCCTTTTTTTTTTAAATAGGTTGCCCACAACTTTAGATAAGAAAGAAAGAAAGAAAGAAAGAAAGAAAGAAAGAAAGAAAGAAAGAAAGAAAGAAAGAAAGAAAGAAAGAAAGACGGGGAGAGCATAGAGGGAGGGAGG